TAGGCAAAGGGTAATAGAATTTCAACATCTTTCAGTTCATACAGATGCAGGGTGGGGCAAAAGTAGTTTACAGTTGTTTGCAAGGGAAAAAAATACAATAATAAATGATAATAAAAAATAAACTCTGTAACCACTGTAACCCCATGAGGCTCTCCCTGAATATATAATAAGGAAATCAATATAGAACACAAAGACATTTCTTGTGCTTCAACACTCCACCCATCAATGAATTTAATTTTCACATTCTCTCTTTTAAACAATGTTTTTGAGGGCCAGTTTTTCAGCTCTGTTTTAGGTGCTTTGGAGATACCAGTGCACCAAACATGTAAAGATGACTTCCTTTATGGAACTAGCAGAGTGGGGCATGTGATGGTCAATATAATAGATAAAATGTGATATGATAGAAATTAGTAAGTGCTATGGGGAAGGGGGGGAGTATAGCAGGGCTGTGGAAGGGACATGGTTGTGGTTTTCATTGTAGTAGGCAGGAAAGCCTTGGTTGGGAAGATGGTATGTGACCATGGAGGTAAGGAAGATAGACCTCCATCATTCATTCCTAACGGGCTTAAAGAGCGATATGCAAACACACAGACCAATATGTTTGGGGAATGAACCCAAGCTCTTCCAGAGGAGCCACCAGAATAAGCAAGCGAAACGTGGGGTCAAAGTTAAATAAGATTCTCATAGATCAGGATCTGAGATGAAGCAGATATAACAGAGGCAGAGACACAGTGTCTCAGCAACGTGAGAAAAAGACATGTGAAGTTGGTTTCTGTTTACTTCTGTGTTCTCTCCACTATCATGGAAGTTCCTTGAGGAGGGAATTTTGTTTCCCTTTATCCCAATTCCTAGAAACTCTCAAGTGTCTGAAATATATGATGGTGTCATCAAAATTGGGAAAATGAGCTGATGAGTGGTGCTAAGCCGAGTCTAGAATATTGTTAAAAGGAAGAAGGGCAAGAAAAGACTGCAGTTTAGGCTCAAGCATAAATATGGAAAATAACAAGTCATGAAAGTCAGTTATCTGTCATCTTGTATTCTTAGGATATAACACACTTAAAGGCAGAAATTTTATTTACCACGTTATGCTTATTCTATGATGGACATGCTGAAGTACTAGTTCCTCACTAACAAATGAGGGGTCCAAGAAAAAGAATACACCAACACATTCTTATTGAATGAACCAAGTATCCCCAAAAGTTAAATGGCTCCCAAAGAGTATTAAATATTTTTGGAAGCTGTGCTGTTTTCTTCAGACTGACCAGAACCAGAATGTGTGCTTTATGAGATCTTAATAAAATGTGATTCATGTCTCAAGAAATGACACGCTCTTGAGAATCTTTTTTGGCTGCTCAGAAGTGAGCAACAGCCTTAGCAGGTTTGGCTCAGTGGATAGAACATCCACTTGTGGACCAAAGGGTCCTGGGTTTGATTCCAATCAGTGGCATCTACCTCAGTTGCAGGCTTCTCTCTGGCCCAGGCCCTGATTGGGGTGTGTACAGAAGGCAACCAATTGATGTATTTCTCTCACATTGATATTTCTCTCTGTCTTTCCTTCTCTCTTCCAATCTCTCTAAAAATCAATGGAAAAATATCATTGGGTGAGGATTAAAAAAAAAGAGATGTGAGCAACAAATGACAGTGTATTAGAACAAGCCTTTGCTTTGAAAAATAACCTTAGTGTCCGAAATCACTGAAGAAAAATAGACATTTAATAAAATGATATATTAGTATTTAAAGGAACACTTTTTGTAGGGTGAGAATATCCTAACCAGCATAGAGGATTCACTGAAATCTGAAATCTTTTGTAATTATTACCTAGGGTAATTATATACTTTTACTGTGATTTATTTATTTTATAGCTGAGACAGAGAATAGTAGTGGTGGTAGCAACATCACAAAGGCAATATGGCCCGGCCTGTAGATGAGTTCACCTAAAAGCAATGAGTCATAAGAACTGAATATTGACAGGAACACTTTAGAAAGTAAATAAAAACATCAAGATGAAAATTCTAGTCACAATTTTTATTCAGTAGTTCAGGAAGATTTTAATAAGTATTACATCCCTTTAGTGGTTATTTTGACTTATAATATTATTATTATTTTGATTTTACTTGGACTTCCAATTTCCTGGCTTCACTATTTTGGGTAATCCCAAGGAGGTTCACATTGTTTATAACTAGCAGGAACCTTGGGAGGCCAACTCAATTCAAGTGTTGAATTTCCCTTTTAAAAATTGTATTAAATGTATTGGGGTAAGATAGGTTAACAAAATTATATAGGTTTCAATTTTACAGTTCTATAATGCATCTTCTGTATACTGCATTGTGTGTGTACCACCCAAAGTCAATTATCTTCTGTCACCATATATTTGACTCCCTCTATCCTCTTCTATCTCCCCACCCCCTTTTCTCCCAGGATAACCACCATGCTGTTGTCTGTGCCTGTGAGTTTTTGTTTGTTTGTTGCTCTCAGCTTTATATTCTGCATGTGAATGATATCATATGGTTCTTGACTTTCTATCTGACTTACTTTGCTTAGCATGATATTCTCAAGATTCAACCTTGTTGTCGCAAACGGGCCAGTATTTTATTTTTTCTGATGCAATTGCTCAATTTCATGCTTGCAGGGAGAATGATGCCAGGAATGATAGAATTCCTACAATGTGATCATTAAGTTTGAGTTCAACAAGATAGGTTCACAGAAGGGCAATCGTGCTTGATTCATCTGATTGTCGGACCGGAAATGAAAGGACAGTGGTGACATAATCATCTCGCATTCTTCAGACCTCATTACAGCACAGATATTAAGCAAAACTAGTTCTGCTTTAGCTAATAAAAGAGGCATTACAAAATCAAACACAAAAGATGTTTCTAGAATCTGTTTTGCTTACAAACAGAAATGGAGATAGCATGGAAAGAAAGTCACTCAAAAAGAAAAGCAGGGGGCCTGAGTCAGGAAATTGGGATGGTGTCTCTGTTGGATCTCTTCTCAGCTCTGTGACCTTGGTCAGACCCTCTGGGCCTCAGCTTTCTCACCTATGAAACAAAGGGTGTGGAATAAATAGGCTGAGGGGTGTTCATGATTTCAGGATAGACAGAGGCATGGAGTAGCAGGATCTATCTCATACAGAAGAAACATAATTTGTATAATTATGGAAGCAAAATTAGCTAGTGATAAAAAAAAATGCAGAAGAAATATGGCTAATGGGGAATGCAAATTGATCGTAATGCATTCAAAATGTAGTATAAATCTGAGACAATTCTTTCCACAAGGAAAAGAATGAGGCATATCAAAGGTCTCTAAATTTCCTCCTCTATAATCTTTTTCTCTTTTCTCTATCATCACCTTATTTTTCTCTATACTCTCTGTTTCCAGTAACCATGGTGATGCACCCTCCCAACAACCTTTTCCACAGCCGGCCTTTTGGTACACATTGAATTTGCTTTATTCACTGACGCAGGGAGCTAGCAATGCTGCAGAAATTAATTAATTTATTAACATTTTTTCATTCCTTTTGTCCAGGAAGTAAACGTGGATAATTATTCCACACACTTAACCACCCTACATAAGGGGCACTGTAAAATAGGGATATTCAACTGTTAATTTCACTTGCTAACATGAAAGGGACACTGATTATGGCAGATTCAATTCCCTGCCGTGGCCTAGGGGACTGTAAATCCCAGGATTCAAGCTGGTTGCCAGCGCCTTTTGCTTTTGTGTATAAATGGAATAAAATGGATTGCGCACAGAAATCACGGGTCAACCTTGGTTTCCCAATCCTCTTGTGGGTTTTTTATTTCTGCATTCTCCCTTGTAAGGAAGACATTTCCAAGTGCATAATTACCCCAGTAACAAGGGGACTGATTTTTCCATAGAAAAATATACATAAGGGTATGCATTTTTCTAATGAGCATGGTTATTTATTTTGGAATATAAATAAGCAGTATGCTATCCTCAGTTTTAAAATATTTTCATTACCTGCCAATGACAAAACATCAAAGAATCTCTGTTGTCATTGATGCAGATGATAAAAATCCCCATAAACTGTCATGGAGTCAAATCCAGTGTGTGGAGCCTAATTTATTTGTAATCCTGTATGCCTGAAAACTGCCTGCTTAAGCTGTGTGAGTGTGTGAGAGACAGTGTGTGTGTGTGTGCGTGAGTGTGTGTGTGTGTGTGTGTGTGTGGCAATCACACAAAGGAGACCAGATGATGACATTCATAGGCTTATAGACTCGACTCCGGGGGACACACTTGGATGGAGGCAATTAAAATGCCTGTCAGGCTTTTGGTACCAGCAGCCCCCATGGCAAACCACTGAATCCCAAGCCAGGGCTGCACCTTATTGTCAGTGAATGATGGCGGAGCTGGGTGGCTTGTCATCGTTCTCGAAAATTCCAAGGCTAGTGAGCATTCTCTCTTTCTCTCCTGCTCGCCTTATTTTCCTTTTCGCCACTGCAGGAATGCTTTCTAATTTGCAGCTCCCCTTTCCCTGACACACACACACACACACACACACACACACACGCACACGCACATACACACGCACGCGCACACGCACACGCACACGCACACGCACACAGGCAGGAGCTGGTGGCTTGCAGACTGCAGTGTGTCTGGAGCCAGAGAGCAGAGCCAGCGTGTGGAGATGATGTTGAGGGAGGAGGACTCCGCAGCCATCCTCAGAGGCTAGACCGAGTGGTATCACGCCACACACGCTGGTAATGGTCTGGGGTGTTTATATTTTTAATTCTGTTTTATTTCTCATCTGTTTTCCAAAGAATCTGCTTTATGGGATGTCAGAGTAAGATGCTTTAAAATTCATTACCGAGCTCTCTAAAAATCCAAGTGCTGCATTGTTTGTGCTACAGATCTCAAGGCAGACTTATTGTCTGGGTGTAAAGAATGCACTTGCTTACTGGTGAGTTAAAATTTTCCATGTTTAGGTAACAAGTCTATATATGTGGTTTTTTTCCCCTTTTGCTTTGTTTCGGTAGATTCTTCAGTTTGCTGTCTGTCACCGAGGAAGCGTTGATTGGGAATCACTCATTCAGAAAATTAAAAGGTACCGCATGTCTCGTTTATATGTTTAAATGAGGGAAAATCAAGGAGGAATTGGAATGTTTTTCTTTGCAGTAATCTCTCTGTGCCTGGTCTTTGATCCTGACATGGGTCATTGTCTAGAGCATGTCTGATTTTTTAGGGAGAATGCCATTTTCCAAGGCTGTTTTATCATTAGATAGCTACAGAATTGTGTCTTTTGCCTGTGTTGCAAGTTATAACAGATATTAGTATGTCTGACTTATTGTTGGATTTTTATCACGATAATGGATAAAAATATGCAAAATTCCCTATCTTACTGAAAGTGCAATAATTTGAATTTAAGAGAAATAGACTGATTTTATTTGAGGAAGTCTTGTTAAGAAGTGATTTTTTTTTAAGTGGCTAAATGAAATGGCTGTTCTTTCCCAAGTAGAATGGGTGCTAGAGAGGAAAGCCCAGGAATGACTCAGTATTGTTGGGTTTTGTGAATAAAAGATTGTCATTTAGTCACGGATATATTAAACACCGAGGTTGTTAGGTATTAAAAGAACTGATTTTACATGCACTATATTTTGCATTGACAGCATGAGACAGTAATCCTTCATCTTGCCATGAAAGCAGTTGAATCCATTGATTGATCTCGGGCCTTATGCCTTACAGAAAAAATATTAATTTTCAAATTCAGCATCAGGATACATACAGATTTGAGATGACAAATATGGGTATTATCTTTTTTTTTTTTTTCATTCCTTAAGGTGATCTTTGCCTTTCACATATACTCATGTCAATAAAATCTTTATTTGCAATTTGGCTTTAAAAAAATGGAAGACATTTTCTACCTTGATGAGAGGATAATCAATAATGTCATTAAAGCCTTTCCTTGGCATTCATATAGTATTTTCCCTCAGACTATGGCACAAAATATTTTACGCAGTAAGGTTGGCTTTTTTGTTTGTTTGTTTTTTTGCTATACTTAAAAAATGGCTAACGTTCAACTACAGATCCTGAAATACTAGGAGTATGTGAATGTTTACCTGTGAGCATGAATATTTGTAGCAGTTTAAGGACAAGAGACCAATGCATTGTCCTCCTTTAATTTTCTCTGCAATGTGTAATTATGAGAACCTTAATTTATTCATCCATAAGCAGGAAAAGCCTTGCTTCTGAGGGTGGTTATTGTGGGAGAGGGGGAAGGGGCAGATGTCTCTGTCACCACCCTTCCAGAGAGTAGGCAGCATCATAAAATATTTTTGCACAAGAGAATGAATTCGTTAAGATAAATCACTGTGCTCTAAAAAAGGGAAATTGCAGTATTTCAGATATTGAATAAAATTTAATAGACTAGTCTGTTAGGTTCATCTCATGTATTCAGAGATAGATAAAATATATTGCACTTTTTCCTCAGAAATTACTCAGGAATCATATACTAAATCCCCCAACAGGACATGCTATTCCTGTAAAATCCTTGGGATCATACTCTCTTGTTAGGTTTCACTCACAGTAAGTGAAAACATTTTATATTTGGTGAAAAAAACAACCCTCTATTTGGTATTTTCCCATCTAACTAAATCCATACAGTATATATTTCATGTGAGAATCTGTTTCCTAATTTTCAGACTCATTTAGGAAGTCATTATATTAATTTTGAACTCTGGGGTATTTACATAAATTGGAAAAAGATGAAATTACTATCTATCCACCAAGAAGAGGTCTTTACTCTGTTGTCAAGAAGACCTGGAACTAGAGAAGTGGCATATTTATTACCTTACCAAGAGCATCTTGGTCCCTAAATTTTCTATTACTATTTAAAAATTCATCTAGGTGTTGATATATATTGTGTAATAAACCAGAATTTATTCAAATAGTCTCTTACATTGTCAAATCACAGTAGAATTTGACTGCTGGACTCTAAAGGAGTTGGGGATCTGTATCATGGTTTTTCTAACCAACATCTGGGCATTACTTTTACCATTAAATTCCTTTCCTGATTTTTCACTGTACCTTCAGCTCATAGCATAATGCCTTGACCACAGTAGTTAAATAACTACTGATTTAATTATTTGATGGATAAATAAATTTGCTGGGAAAATTTGCATTTTTCCTCATTACTTTTCTGTTCTTGTTTTTCATATGGTTCTGCACTGTAATCTTTTTTTCCCCCAGTTACCTAAAATATTCATAATAAGCCCCTAATTTATGGTAATTAATTGGCTAATACCAGGTTAAAAAAAAAAATCTGAAAATGTCTCCTGGCTCCATGGAAAAGGATTTTTCTGGTTTTAAGTTAAGATGGAAGAATTTTTTAAATGTCCCTTTCACTTTCATCAGCTAGGGGGAAAGATGCCAAGCTGCAGCATGAGCTTTGCTTTATGGACACTTCCTAAATATTCCCAGGCTTGACATTGTTTATTGCTCTTCATGACTTCAGCCAAGATTTTGCTGCAGCACCGGGTGGAGGCCCTCCCCTCTCCCTCTTTGTAAATGCAAAGCTAGAAATGATGTCATAGTCTTCCTGATCGCCTTCTTGCTCATTATGGACTAGTTCAGTATGACATCACTTTATACATATCTATTTAAGGAATCTATAAAGAAACTTCTAGAATCATAATAGCTAGAGAAATTGTTCTTGTTGTCCTTTATCTCTATTAATAAAACTATAGTTTTTTGTTGACTATGTGTCAGATAATATTCTAAGCCCTTAACACATGTTGTCTTGTTTTAACTCTCAATTACAATCCTGGGAAGTGGGTATGGTCTCCATATTGCAAATGAATGAAATGAGACTTCAGTCGGATGATCAACACAAGTCTGGCCCAGAGTCCTTCATATTAACCACAACATATTACTTTTTTTTCATATACATAAAGTAGAAGTAAATAAATCTTAAAATACATTATAATATTCAAGCTCTGATATATTGTATATTGTATATTTTAATATATATTTCTATTTGACCTAAGGAACTTTATTCTTTAAGGAGCGATAGCAGGAAGTTTTAAAATAAATGCATTAATAAAGCATTTCCTATGTCATTACAATGAAGTTGCATTACTGAATTACATAATCTATGTGAAAATAAAACTAGCCAGAGAATTCTTTTGCTAAATAACATGCAGAGTTGTTTGCTTTTTGAAATTTAACTAATGACAGAAGTTTCAAATGGCCAAAATAAAAACAAAATAAAAAAAGCAGGGAACAGTATCATGAACATTTAAAATAACACATTCATCCTTAAGTAAAACTTACTAACCAAGGGCACTCACAATTACACAAATATACGTTAAGATGTTCTACTTGGAAAGGAGTGTATACAACAAAACACCTCTGGAGCTCAGTGGAACCAGCAGAATAAGTCAAGGAAGCAGCACCAATGCTCGTTGGTACTGTAAGAGCCACTTGAATCACTTCTTAAGGGACTTCACTGCATGGCAGGTTTGCTAACAATTGAGAAGGGACTCAACAGGAAACACATCATGGAGGCTGAGTCTGTTGAGATGGAACAAGGGTGAATAGAAGTATTCAGGGAGAGAGAATGCATGGAGGAGCTCCAGGAAGAACAAATACTAGCAAAGGAACCAAAGGAAGTGAGCATACTTGGCAGACATCGACTAATTTCATCTGTATTCTAGAGTGCAGGCAGCAGGGGAATCTTAGTAGATAAAGATGGAAAGGTACAGCAATACAATTAGATTGTACCATATGAAATGGATAATATTCTACCCTTTTGAACTACAAAATAAAATAAAAATTTAATATATATTTGTTATTGATTTCAGAGAGGAAGGGAGAGGGAGAAAGATAGAAACATCAGTGATGAGAGAGAATCATTGATTGGCTGCCACCTCCAGGCCTCCTACCAGGATCGAGTTTGTAGCCTGGGCATGGGCCCTTGACTGCAATTGAACCCAGGACCATTCAGTCCTCAGGCTGATGCTCTATCTGGTGAGCCAAACCAGCTAGGATGCAAAATAAAAATGTAATTCAGTTCAATCTAATACGTTGGAAAGGGATTTTAAATGCGAAGTTGAGGAGGTTTTTTAAATCTGTATTCAATGGAAAGCTATTGAATGTATATTGAATAAGAGACCATTATGATCTCAATTGCATTTTCTGATGACTTTTTCATTTAGCTGTGTGAGATAAATTAGAGTTGTGTGTGAGAGCATGTTGAAAGCTGTCATAGGATAATTTAGGAAAATTGAAGGCTCATAGGATAATTCAGGAAAAAATGAAGGCTCAAAGAGGGCATTGATGGTAAAAGAAGAGGCCATGGCGATGAGAGATGTTTTTCACTTAAATTTATATACAGAAAATAGCCAGTTATTGACTGGTAGGAGGAATGAATAAAAGAAGGACTCAGTGGTGACTCTAAGGTTTGAACTTGATAACTGGAAACACGAAAGGAGAGTGGAAGCTAAAAGCTACTTGAGGAAAGAAACCCTCCTTTATTTTTACTACATCCTGCTCTCCAGCAGACTGGCTAGTACACAGTAGACAGTACATGCTGACTGAATTAGTGGGGAAAATTCATGCTCTTTTCCTGGCCTCATGGAGCTTTCCTTCTAGAGGAGGGAATAGTCAGTAGGTAAACAAATTAAATTAAAAGATTACTCAGGCAGCTGTGCAGAGAATAGATGATAAAGGGGTAAGAATAGATGCTGGGAGATAAGCTTTGCAAACCTTACAGCAGAGAGGAATCAACTGAGATTAAATACAGATTCAGGATCAGTAGATGTGAGGATAGGCCTGAGATTCTTTTTTATTTTATTTTAATTTCTTTATTGATTATGATGTCACATAACCATCCTCATCCCCGAGATTTTTTTTTAACAAGCTCCCAGATGACATTGGTGTTGCCAGACTGTGGACCAGGCTTGATTAGAGTTTGGAAGGCAAATGTCCAGACAAGGAAAACTAGGAATGATTGGAGAAACCATTATGAGCAAGTTTCATTCTTTCTGCCCATGCTCATTGCTTCCTTTGCCATAGAAAGCATTCTGGTGGCTCAGGTTTGGGGGTGAG